GCCCCCCACCCACCCCAACCCAGACAGCTGTCTCACCACAGCACAGAGCTATGATGTGACACCGTGCTATAAATACAAGTACACATTGACACAAACACATACACACACACACACTATAAATATCATCTCTGTGCAAAACACACTGCAGCAGTATAAATATTTAAGTACAAATGTGTAATGAATTTATTGATATGTTGCCCATGCCAGCAGGCACTGTTTGGAGCCGCAGAGTGGTGAACCAGTGTGGTGGGATTGAAGTGGCGTTGAGGGATTGTGGGAACGCATGTTCTGAGTTAGGCAGCTGACCAATCGGTGGGCTGGAAGCTGGAAGCCGCATCACAGGAGGAGCTGCTGATCAGTACCAGTCTTCTTGGCTATCCATCTCTCTTTTACTCTCTTTCTCGCCTGCTTACTTTAGTCACATTTTTGCTTCCTTCATCTCAGTTCTCTCTTTGCTGCCGGTATCAATGCTGATTTCTTGTGTACTACTTTTTCCTCCACTGTTCTCTTCATTCTTCCACACTCTCTATTTTTGTTCTTTGGCATTATTTTTCATTGACAGCCTCTCTCTCTTTACTCCTCGTTCTTCTTTTGTTTAACACTTCCTCATGTTGCCAATTTGTCATTTCTAGCTGCACACAAGCTCCGAGTGTCTGTGTCAGATTTATGAATGAGGATTTGAAAATTGGTTCCACAAACAAAAAAGTGTGTGGAACAACATGCGGATTTGTATAAATGAATAGGTGGATTAAGATGTTTGTCTATATGGATATGAACTAAACATATTTGGAAACTGGATGACTGAATGGTTGCTGAAAAAAGTTTCTGATTGGCAGTAATAGAAACAGTTATTTTGTAAAATGAATATCTAAATTGCAAACTTGTCTTCTCCCTCTACACAGAATATACCATAGTGACGGTACAACATCCTTACTGCAGTCTGGACAGCACACTTCTGATATTTTAGTGCAGTCATGTTAATGGAACGCCACATTTTCGTAAATTTCATCAACAATTAATAAGTGGGGGACAAGTGTTTGTGCCTTTATACTCATCTGGTAATTGCCGCCTAAATGTGTTCCCTTTTCTTCCTCGATTCAATCAAATCTTCTTGTTATCCCACTTGGCCTCCTCTGACCTCCTCCTCGCTCATTTCTCAACTTTCTCCCCTTTTCATTTTTCGCCAACTCTGCCTCTCTATGTCCCTCCCTCCGTTCAAATAGAGACACATCCCTGTCGTTTGGTTAGCACGTGTGTTTAGCACGCCTGCTTGTTGTTCGCTATCCCTCCATTTTCCCCATCTTTCATTACTCCCTCTCGCTTTCTCTCTCTTTCTCGCTCGCCCTCCTCCCTTTTTGTTTCCTCTCCATCTTTTTTACCAACGTCCTGCAGCCCAGCTGGCATGGTTTCCTAGTGGTGTAGTAAAATATAAATATAATAAGGACGTTTTTGAGCTGGTGAATCCATTCTGAGCAGAGAAACATCACCACACAGTCCACAGATGTGGCACATACTCAGGAGAGAGAGAGAGAGAGAGAGAGAGAGAGAGGGGGCGAGAGAGAGAGAGAGATGGAGAGAGGGAGGAGAAAAGATCCCTCATTTGACGTGGAGAAAGTACAGCACGAGCCCAGACTGCATTATTGTTGGCACTAACCAGCTACTAGACTTGTTATTAGGACACTTTATACAAATTTGACTCAGATCTTCGTCAACAATCTTCAAGCAAGTCTTCAATTTTCTGATCCTGAGTCTCACTGAGCCCAAAAGTGTTATTTAAAGAATATTATTTTAGAGGAACCTTTGAAAAAACCTCCACTTGTAATTAATAAATATAGCAAAAGTGCAATTATGAGGACATTCAATGACTCTCTGAGGTTTTAAAGATTTTATTTCTTAGTAGCAGCTGTATTCAGGCTGTTATGTTGGTGACAGTATACTTAATCATGGTTAGCAAAAATATACCAAAATAGTTTCCAATGGCCATAATAAGAAGACAACTAACTTCAATATTTTCCGTTTTATTCCATTCTATTTTTATTATAAATGAATGATTGTGCACAATTAAGTGTGTGTGTTATTTTATGAGACTGTTCACATTAGTCTAGGCTGCATTTGTGTGTGTGTACCTACTTGCGTATTCTCACGTATAAGTGCATGTGTGTGCGCTTTCCTCTCTCCGTCCATATGTGTTTGGTGTCAGAGCAAAACGGACCTGAGTCCCTGGGCAGCCCTTTATTTGCTTTAGCCGTGCTGTGGCTAGCCTAGTCCGCTAACTCCGAGACACATTTAGCCTGTGCTCCGCTTTTATAGCCCCCTTATTTTATTTTCCTTCTGCCTGCTTTCTGACCCAAAAACCTGTAGTGAACTGGCCTTAACTAAGACCAGTATCATTGTATGACAGTTTTGGCCATTGTGGTTTTCAATGGCTGCCTTGTTAGTTCGGCCCCCTGAACGCGGCCCTCCCTGCCACAAATGTATGTAATGAAGATGCGTTGCCTTGTGTTGGAATAATGGGACTTACACAGTTTCAGACGCTTATGCTCTATTGAAACCTAGTTTTAGGTGTTTATTGTGGTTTAGGGTTGGACGCTGGAGTGTGTGGAGGAACACAGGGAGGAAGAGGAGGAGGAGGAGGGGGAGGAAGAGGGATGGCGGTTTCTGCCACAAGCTGTTGTTACCTTGAGCATAACGTCCTTTTACCCCCATTACAGCATTTCACCACAAGCCACAAACACGCTAGCTTCCACTGACTGCAAAACAACCAAACTCACTTGTTTACCAGCTAATGTGCCATGTATTCACTCTGACTCATCCAAGCCTTCGCCCATATTTCTCTTTCTTTAATCAACTCCTCATTTCACATCTTGCATCCTAATTTATTGATATGTTCTCTTTAACCCGTTTGTACACTTTTCTCACCCTCTGTAATTATCTCTCTGTCTGTATCTTTCTTTTCCCGTGCTCTCCGTTTCTTTCTCTTCATTTCCTTTCATCTGTGTCTTCCTCCTCTTGCCCTGCACGGCGCCTTTGTTGGTTAGGGCCCGGGGTATGCGTGGGTAACCCCGATGCCCATGCAAAGGCCCTTATAGCTGTGGACTCGCGGAGCCAAAGTGCCAGTAGATGAAAGCAGAGGGAGATTCTGGGGCTGGCACACATTCTCCCTCTGTCCTGTTACCGTGGCCTCTTATTTCACAGAGAAAATTAATAACTTTAACAAACATCAATGAGCGAGGGACTGGTGCTCGGTTGGCTCGGTGTATGTGTGTGTATCTGTTAGCATGTGTACTGCGCACGCATGCCTGGATTTGTGTTCTATTTTGTGTCTTTCGGACCCGGACTGCACAAAGAGGCTGAGGGAAACAGGGCAAGAACATGAAAGGTTGATAAATACTAAATACGGGGTGTGAGGCTCCACACTGGTTTGGTCTGATCAGATTGTTGTCTGCTTGAAAGGCCGCGGTGTCTTTTCTTGAGGCAAAAAGGAACTGAAGGACGGATGGATGAAGGGAGGGATTGAGGGGAGAACCTGACCACTTCTGAAGCATTGTCGACAGCCACGCTGAACAGACAGTAAGTTGGCCGGCCTGGAGCCACGCCCGTATTCATGATCTTCAAAATAAAAAAGGATGAGACACACACGCACACTCACACGCGGCCACAAAATGTTGATAGTTACAGAAAAACACGTGCTTGTGCAAAATGGCTACGCACACAATTTTAAGTTTAGATTTCTGCCAATGCATTCACACACAAACCTGTGTACACGTGTGGAAGTTACGGTCACAGAAGTCACATGGTCATGCACACAATGCCTAGAATACCAACATCTGGATGCCAAGGCACGAGTCTGCTCATCGGTCGCAGTTTGGCCTTCAGTGTCCTGCTCAAGAACATGTATTGTTAAAAGGGCGACGTAGATAGAGGTCGAACCACCAACGCTTAACTGGAAAGTTTGCGATTTGAAAAATAAGATTACTCTCTCTCTGCAGAGATAGATCAAAGGATGCATTTCACTCTCATGTCCATGCAGTAATTATGAAGCTACCGCAACTGGCAGCTGGTTAGCTTATCTGAGATTTAGACCAGAGAGGAAACAAAAGGCCTGGCGTTCACCTACCAGTGTAAAAGGGGGCCAATTTGTTGGACTGTTTCTTCCCTATGAGCAGCAACTTCCTTACGGTCCGTATGGTTGCCAGGCCAACAAACACTACAAGAGGTTACTTCTCCCACCTAGCCCCCTGAAAAATAACAAATCAGTGTTTGCACAGATTAAACTACTAAAATATAAGCCGTTAATTACTAACCCTCTGCTTCCAGGCTTAGTGCCATAAGCTCACCAACTGGTGGCTGCAGTCCTAGACTTCCTGAACTGGGATAACAGAGGTATTGATCTTCTTATCTGACTCTACAAGAAAGCTAATACAAATATTTCTAAAAACTCTGAACATTTGAAAAATATATATTAACAAAGAGAACGGGGGAAATTCCTCTTGAGGGATCGTTTTCAGAGCAGCTGGAAACATTCAGTTTAACACTGACACCTCTATATGACAACTGTTGATTTCTTTAAACTGGCGCTGTATGCTCTGTACCAGGAAAGGTCTTATGAATTTACACAGAACTCAGTTGATGTTCTATTTCAGCTAAAGATCAACACAGCTATACATGGCTGTTTGCTGTGTGAATCCTTCTCTTTGCTTTTCTCTGTTCCATTAAGAGACATGAAACGCGGTGGGGCGGCAGAAATACTTTATGGTGTTTACCCTCACAAATAATAAAACACAAATTGTGGAAACCCTCAGCATTACAGTTCAGTTCATTCAAAGGAGCCTTCCCTGAGAAACAGGGGTGAGACCACTGATTTTCGACTGGCAAATATTTGAAGAGCTAATTTGGAGGGGTTTGGTTCTCTGGTGTGCTTGAATGTGCATGTGCATGTGTGTTTGTGTGTGTGTGTGTGTGTGTGTGTGTGTGTGTGTGTAACACATAACCAGCAGCCAGCTACCCAGCCAAAAGTTATAAAATGAAGTAATTGGTCTATTTAAGGACACCGGCAGGAAGTGATTAATCGTGTTGATTAAATAGGACAATTGTCTAAAGACTAACTGACAGCCAGTCAATCATAGATGAAGCCAGTCAGTCAGAAAGTCAAATTATCTGTGCGATGGTCAGTTTGCTGTAATGCTTCATCCAGTCCACCTGCCAAACATCCAACTCCAGCCAGTGAACCAATGACGCTTGATCTTGTTTTAAATGCAGCTCAGGGGAAAAAACACATTAGTGGCTGCATAATCCAGGAAATTGAAGGATTTAATTGATTTTGATTGCCTGTTGTTTACAGTTGGGGGAAAACAGGGCTTTCAAGGGCAAATACTACAACTAGAAATAAAGTTGCCGCAATAAAAAGGGCAAAGCTTGTGTTTGCTGCTCGCCTGCCTCAATGTGAGAGAGGAGGGCAGGACTGGCAGGGTGCGGTCTCAAGTGGCAGCAGATCGTTTTGGATCACTCAAATCCCTTCAATTCTACTGGAAAGCTGCAGCTCGTTGCACGCCGGCTGCATGTGCAGAGAAGGAGCCTTCGATCCCGGGAGAAGGGCACCGGAGCAAAACAGCGGCAGGACGTGACCGAGGGTTCCCAGGGCAAAAGAACGAGAGGGAGAGAAACCACAACACTGCAACTTGGATATCAGCAACAAGCTCTCCCTCCCTCTGTGACTCTCTCACCCACCACATCGACTTTGAACCTGTTTGTTTAAATACACGGACTTTACAGCCTGCACAATTGCTGTTGATTCTGCAAGGCGGAGGGGAGGAAGGTTTCTCAATTTTGGGTCCTTTTTTTTTTTTTTTTTTGGTCTTCTGCTAAAAACTTTTCGGGGTCCTCATGGTGCCCGGAGCTGCCGCGCCGAGTTCCTTTTTATCCGACGTGATATCGTGACTGTCACGGGACGATGGAGTCGGGGACCGAGCCGGAGAGGAACTGAAGACACCTCTGCTCCCTCCCGCCCCAGCCAACCAACCCCCCCGGGGCGATGCGGATCCCCTTCCACCTCCTCACCGCCTCTCTGTGTGCCACGGTCCTCCTCCTCCTCCTCCTCCTCGCACCTGCCTCGGAGGGCTGCGGGCCGGGGAGGGGGTACGGCAAGAGGCGGCCCCCGAAGAAGCTCATCCCGCTGGCTTACAAACAATTTAGCCCCAACGTCGCCGAGAAGACCCTCGGAGCCAGCGGGAGACCCGAGGGCAAAATAACGCGCAACTCGGAGCGCTTCAAAGAGCTGACACCCAATTACAACACGGATATCATCTTCAAAGATGAGGAGGACACGGGCGCCGACAGGCTCATGACCCAGGTGAGGAGAGGCATGGGATGGGAGGGCAGGTCTGCAGAACATGCTGCACATATGTGGAACATACAGACCAGAATGTACACACATGGTGAAGAACTGTCAAGAACTGGATTACTTCAAACCAGATTAGACCTTATAGACTGAGACCCGCTTGCATTCAATTGTCTGCAGAGTGTTTGCTGTCAGTTAAATGTTTAAACCAAAATGATTGATTTCATTGACTCGACCCTGCGTTTCAACTCTGGATGCTGCTGCTAGACATTCTTAGGTCTGCCTTGAAGAATTTGCTTCACTACCGAACTTAGACCTATTTAGTTTAAACGGTCTGAATCATTGTTAATATGTGCAGTTTTTCAAAATCCAAATCTGCTAAATCTTTTTGGACTTTTGGTCTGATTAATTGAATAGCTGACTATTTCATCAGTTAATACATGGATATGATTATCGAACCCGCCGACAATAAACTGCTTGTAATCAGATTTGTTACATTGGAGACAGTCGATCCCCAGATCTTGAGATCCTCTTACGCAAAGTAACTGGACGACTGTGAAATCAGCCCAAGCACACCTGGATGGTTGTGTGTGCTTTACACAATCATAGCTTGTGTTCACATTTCTTTGTGTGTGTTTCGACTGCGTGTTAGAGAAGAGGTACGACCTCGTCACGTGTGATGGGCCTGCGGTTTGCCTTCTGCGGGCTACGCTGTAGGGACGACGTGGCTGGGATGGAAACAGGCCTCACTCATCTTCCTTTTGTAATGTTTCGTTTCTAACTCCTGCCTTCTGTCTTTCTCCTCGCCCTGCGGACCTTTTTAGCGTTGTAAAGACAAGTTAAACTCTCTGGCCATCTCAGTGATGAACATGTGGCCCGGTGTGAAGCTGAGAGTGACCGAGGGCTGGGATGAGGACGGTCATCATTCAGAAGACTCGCTGCACTACGAAGGACGTGCTGTTGACATCACCACCTCTGACAGGTAGTCACGCAATACGTCCAATCATGTGACGCGAATACCACTTAAAGTCTGCCTATAGTCAGTTAACACAGTCCATAAGTCACTTGGTCGACTTATCAATAATGCAATGACTCAACCAATTTGTTAAATTCCTCCTGCATTCACAATACTTTCTTTCTAAAGTCTTTTGACTTTATGGAAACAAATGTATGGTTTTCAGCCGACGAATATATGCATTTTGTGTTATTTTTATAAAAGTATTCAGTCATACCTTGTGATTGAATCGCATGTGGAGTTAACAATATGGATCCTTTTTCTCAAAGGGACAGAAATAAGTACGCCATGCTGGCCCGGCTGGCCGTAGAAGCTGGATTCGACTGGGTCTACTATCAGTCCAAAGCCCACATCCATTGCAGCGTCAAGTCAGGTAAGAGACGTCTATGAGCTACACTGCGTTATCGACGTGTGTGTTTGTGTGTGTTTTCTCTGCAGCTAGCTGCCATTACCACTAATGAGGTGGATGCCTTTGTTGGTGATTCACTAATGGTTTACCTTGATAGTGCCGCTATCATCAGTCTACGTGTGTGTCAGTGTGTGTGCGTCCCACTGGGAGCCAATCAAAGAAGGGAGGTGCACCTGTGCTCGTCGCCTTATTCACTCTGCCTTCTTGATCGCATCGTAAACCTCTGTGGATATTTTGTCCTCTAATGTGCAGACAGAGCCATTGTAAGGGGTGGGAGAGTGCAATGGCTAATATTTAATTTGCAATGAATAACGTATACTGTACTTTATATATCAGGTCACGCATGGCTCTCATTTCTGAAGTCCTGTGACAAAGGGTTTCATTTTTTCAAGTTTTATTGCAAATCAGATACGGTCCTTAAGCAAACAATACTTGACCGCATTCCACTTCGAGCCGTTCTAACTTTTGAGACATTTTGGAAACCCATTTACCCATGTCTGGTACCACCAGTTATTTGATGCCAAACTACATTCTAGCAGTCCATTGAGGTTAGTAAGCTGTGAGATGATTAACTCTCCCTTTGTTTTGCTGTTGCTTTTCCTTCAGTAGGTTTCTCTCAGATCTCTTATCTAAGTCTTATCACCTCCCAGTTCGAGCCCTCCTTCCCCGCAGCCCTCTGGCTTACAGACATACACACCTTGGACAAATATTTGGCTGCCTTAAGACTACTTTAAGACAACCCCCCCACCCACACACACACACCACCGCCCCCACACACACAAACTGATTTTTTCTTCATTCCGAGCAAATATTCCAATTCTATTCTTGCTTCCGGTTAGTTTTCAAGAAACAAGCTCTTTCCTTGTGTGGGACCATTGAGACTGGGCATGTGACACAAACTCTGCTGTAATCCAAACAATATCTCGACCCAGGCCTGAGTGTGTGTACTTTCCTGTTTCTCTGACCCCAGGCCGTGCTCTGACTGTGGTGATACAATCAGCTGGTTATCCATTAGCTCTTGCTGACTGCCTCTTCTTGCCACCTCGTCTCAGTGCGTCTTAAAGGGACACCTTATTCAGAAGTACTCCAATAAGATCAAATTAAGGCTAATATCCCGTTGCACCTTGCACAGCCTAAATGGACGACAATATTCCAACAAAGCAGACATGAGTTTTGAAAAATGTTGTAAATTGTGTCATACTGATGATGGGAAGATCTGGGGACTTCACTTTGTATGAAAAGGGACGCCTTTTTTTAATTTTTAGATATTTAGAACCCCTCCTCCCCTATAAAGATGTATATATACAGTGCAAGAACATTACATTAGAAATCTTAATCTGCTGGTAAGAACAGCTCTGTGTGTGTGAAAGAGTTCTCAGAATTTGGAGAGAGGCAGAGTCGGACAGAAAAGACAAAGTTTGAACATGACTCACGTTATATACACAAGTTAACAATCTCCCGCTGATCCACTGAGATAAAGACGTCCTTGAGTCAGTGTCAAAGTCTTGCCTGCATTATGGATTACTCCGTGACCTAAAATAATCTGCAGATGCAGCCGCTGGAGGTCGAAGTGCTGCCGAGGGGTTGCTCTATTGCCGAGAAAGCAACACCGCCGAAACAAACAAAGCAATAAGACCAAATGAAATCTAAGTTCAATGAAATAATAGTATTTATCTAACCTTTCATCTCTCCAGAACATTCCGTGGCAGCCAAAACCGGTGGTTGCTTCCCAGGCGATGCCCAGGTCACCCTCAGCGGCGGCGTCACCAAGCGGATGCAGGACCTTCGCCCCGGCGACCACGTCTTGGCCTCTTCAACGACAGATGGTCACGGCCCTCTTATCTACAGCCCGGTCTCATCTTTTCTGGACTACCAGCCCAACGTCACCAAGACCTTCTGCCGCATTGGCACCGACACGGGACTTATTATCACTGTCACGGCCGCTCACCTGATCTTTGTCACGGACTGCACTGGTGGGCTGACTGAGCCGACGACCAGAGGGACCAGAGAAGATACGCCTTTGGGCGCCAAAAGCCGTGAAGCGGGTGTGAGGACAGTTTTCGCCAGTGAGGTGCGGCCGGGGCAGTGTGTGCTCACATCACATGGCAAAGCGGGGTCACGGGCATCACTTTCAGTTGTGACCTTTGTGGAAGAACAAGGCGGCACTGGGTTGTACGCCCCACTAACTCAACACGGGTCCATAGTGGTGAACGGCGTGCTGGCCTCCTGCTACGCCGCTGTGGACAATCACCATTTGGCCCACTGGGTCCTGACGCCGCTCAGGTTCTTCTACAGCCTGATGGGACGTTCAGAACCGCAGAGCCACGGCCTGCACTGGTACCCTCGTCTTCTACAAAGGCTGGGAAAAACACTGTTGGGCGCTGGACACTTCCACCCCTGGGGGACCGAGCAAGGACACAGATAGGAACCACGGAGGCACGTTTCACACTGATGACTTGATTCGCTTACCTGTATTAGGAGCACCTGTGAGCACAGAGGGACAACCAAAGACAATTGATTCTGTAGTGGAAATGAGTTTTCCCCATAATTGCCGGTATTTTTGTACTTCATTGAATGCCTTTTTGTAGTTTGTGCGACAAATAGAAGGGACTGGGAAGATTAGTCTGACGATGTTTGTTTAATTCATTCCAGAATATTTGGGGGACTGGAAAGGGAATCAAACACAGCTCTACTAGAATAGAAATATAGACCTACAGTAAGTATCTCACACGCTTAATTAAAGAGGTTAATATCCATGGCAATATATTTATGTGATTGAAACAAAAATAGCTTTAATACAACGTAGTGAAACGTGACTTCACAATAGGGTTTACTGATACTGTTGCAGGAAACTTAAACATGTGAGGACACCTTTTGTAACACATTTTGGGAGCATTAGTCTTCAGAGAAAAGATTAAGGTGAACAAATGAAGGAAACACATTTGGAGGAAAGAAAAAAGGAGATCACATGAAGAAAACTGGTGACTGAACAGGATGTGATGTAAAGCTCCATGTTCCAGTATTTATACAGTCATGGAATCACATGTAAAGGCATCAATGCAGTAAATCCATTGATCTCTTATTTGCATAGAGCCTGTTTTCTAGAATGAATTTACTGAAAAATATGAATTAATATGATACATAGGTATGGCGTTCTGTAAAATGAAATGCAATGTTGTGACAATATGACTTCACATCTGGAGCTTTGTTGGATAACTATTGAAAAGCAGGGAGGGAGGATGGACACTGTGTGTATACTAAAGTATTGATATGAAATAGGTGCATGGGAGTATAAAGGCCACCCGTCAATGTGGTTCACATGCGTTCAGTCACTGATATACGGTTCCTTTATACATCCATATGTTTTTTTATCCGCAATTCTTTTTAAAAGCTGTTTGTTTTGTGACATGTTTTTCTTTGTTTCAGGTTTTCAATTTTCAGGTCAGTAGTATCTAGAAAAGGTATACACAACACTCAGGCTGTACTCAACTACTGTATTAAGCAACAGCTATGCATCATATTAAATAACTATTTAATCTGAAATAGTAAGTTACTTGATAGCTCTCCTTTGTATGGTATTTTTTGTATTCATTCTTTCACCCAAGACATAAGACCTAGATTGGCTGCTGTACAGGAATTGAATTATTCTTAAATGTCATGCAGTCATCAATTATTGAGTATGAGGACTCACACTTTGCTATCTAGAGACTCCAAGACATTATTCTACATGCCTATCAAAATATGTGTCACATGTGTATATTAAGCTATTGTTGGCGAGACTATTTAAAGATCTATTTTTAGTAAATAATAACTTTTATTTGTTTTCGGAATCTCTGAGCATAGGATTTGTATTTGAAACATAAAGCTGTTTTTTTAAACCACAATTGCTCCGTGTTTTTTTGTTGTCTCAACGAATTTAGAAGAAGATCATTACAAATCACTGATGCGTTTACACTCGTAAAGCACGTAAAGTTGTGCTTGTTCTTGAAGTAGGTAGCCGGGTTCTCTTTTTTCAGACACATCGTCGCGGGTTGATAACCATCTGACACACAAACAGCCGTACATGTAAAAGGCGATGCATCACAACAGCTGCAACAGTGCGAGTGGGGAGAGATCAGCCGTGGTCAAAGGGTGGGCTGCTGGTTGGTTTCAGGACCACGGACAGCAGCGCACAGAAACAACTCCTATTCCCTCCTTTTGATGCTGAGTGTTTTTTTTTTCTTTTTCTTTTCTTCTAGAATGGTTCTAGTCCTTGAAGACAGCTCACCCTGGTGGATGCTTCAGTGCTTGCATCAGGACCGCAAACAGAATTCAGGAAATAAAAGAACACACTCGCTGTAATCAATACGCAGTGGGGAGATTCTACAGAATCTTTAATGTTTTTGTTCAGTTAGGTACAGGAAAAACATTTTTTTTGTTGTATCCCATTGCTCATTACAGGAGACGCCATCATCCATATAGACAAATGCCTCCAAAAACCAGACCAAGGTGCAACACTCACCAATTTACACATTTTTAAAAAATGAGAATATGACGGTGATTGGTTTACCAAAAATATGCAGGTGACGTTCTCACGCGAGCCTTTTTATAATTATGAAATTAATCATGCACATCTCAAATGGTTGAAATACTGAAAACTCTTTTTAAATGTGTCCACCTGAGTCTGGTGGTGTGAAGCTTTTCTCCATGTGTCCCGTCTCCATGCAATCATGGTTAGGCCTGCTGGGACCACGATACCTTGGCAACATTTTGAGGCAATTGCTGATGGAAAACGAGCAACCGTAATCATGACAAATTTGTGAGGGAATGGTGAAAAAACACATTTCATGTATAACTGCCGACCATATCTCCTACTAAGGTTAACAAATAAATAACAATAAATAAATTTTAAAAAAATCCAGCTGCCTCAAAAGTGACCCATGTATCATTGTCTTAAATTAAGGGTGTTCACACAACAACACATGGGAAGTCAGCATGCTCACAGTACCTCACATACAGATATGAATGACTTTATATAATATGTATCTGTCATCACAGCTTGGCAAAATTACACTTATACACAACAAATGCACAATAACACCTGGAACCATAATACCAGCGAGTGGAAAAAGAGTTGTCTTTGTCCAGTCAACCACATCCCCTGGTAGGTGGTGGTGGTGATATCCTCCAACAACAATTGCCTATAGATAAAGAATTTAGATTTCCAAACGTCCCGTAAAACACGCACACATACAATCTCACACAACCATTTTCTCACACTCTTATTACATGTTAATAATATCATGAGAAACGTCTTCTGAGTCAGTGACCGAATGAATGTGAGATGTTTTGAATTACCTACAGTAAGCGGCTATGTAGAGAGCAGTGAACCTGACAGAAGTACAAAACACTCCATAACACCCTACAGTAAGTTGGCAATTATGTTGACATAGTTACATTAGGCTATTTGTAATCATTGCTTGTCAGCATACAAAAATAAAAGACGTTGCTCTGGTGCATATTCTGAATCCTCTGCATTTGAGTTAAGTCGTCTCAATGCAAACAGAAGGAATTGTTTTCGGCACATTTTCAAAAGGCCGGCTCAGTTATAATATATTTGATTAGCATTAAAGTGTAACCATATCTGCCGTCCTATTATACTACCAGTAGCAGCGTCTCATTGTAGTAGTTTGGTGGCTAGCCTTTAAGCAAGCCTGAATAATGCATATTTTGAATCCCTTATGAAAAAAAAAGGACAATCCCATGAAAAGATTTTTTAACATGCCCACTCCACACAACTTCACACAAATTCCAACTACAATAAAAAACCTGACTGTCAGAGAGGAAGTCTCGCATTGTTCTACTCTATAGACTCTGTGATCAGTATTTATATTTGTGTTTTTAAAGCATTTTTAAATGTAATTCCTTCTCTCGTTGAGTTGTTTGTGTGTTTAACAAAAGGTTCATGCTATTATACCACTATTGGACCTAAACTAATACAACAACTAGGAGCCCATTGTTCAATGTTTCACCAGTAGGTAATCAAATTAGAAATCAGAGATGGTTTGGATGAGTCCAACGGGCATAGTTTCAGCAGCAGAACCAGGAGAAATCAGAGTGATTGTGGGTCGGTGACCAGCACGATACTGGCACCAAAACCGCAACGCTTGAGCTCCGCCGACTCACTCCGGCCAGCCGCTCCGTTACCGAAAAAAAGCGAATGGGCACAGGTGTGGAAACCCGCATCCCCAAAGAAAACAACGACACTTGATGGCTACACATGTGGCTAAAACATACTATTGACAAAAATAGAGATTTGTTTCAAAAACCCACTTGAGCATGAGAAGATGGCGATCTGCCTCAGAATTAAAAGTGAGTGGCTAAACTCAAGACGTGTTGTTGAGATGGATAACTTAGTTTTGTTTACTTACATTATTTTTTTGCTATTTAGCTGATTAGGTGCTGATTCTGCAACTCGTCCATTCAAAGGTAGTTTCTCAGTTTGACTGGGCAGAAGTTTCCAGTTAGAAATTGGAACCAGAATTTAGGGCTCAGGCCTTCGCTGAGTGCGTGTGGAAGGAATACTTTGTCTTAATCATTTACTTCTTCAATCTCTCAGTCACAGATGAACAAACCCATGTCTCAAAACAGATTTGCCCTGTTATGGTGGAGAAACAGGCCGTGGCGAGTTTATGAAGAGACATCGCTAAGAATAAAATATTATAATGCGATCGCAAATGTAGACATTGCAGAGGCACATAATCCTGCATATATCCTGTATGTCAGGATTCTCTTATTAATCATTTTTTTGTAAGTAGAAGTGGGACAATAAAGGAGGGGCGGGCTGTGAAATGACTACATCTGTAAATGTTGACAGAAATCCAGCGAAATGCCAAGATCCACTTTTAGCACAGTGTAGCAGACCTTAGCAATGCATGATTTCAGCTCTGCTTCTATGGCCAAAGTCCTAGTCGAGAGAGGGAAGGAAGGATTGAGGCAAGAGGAAGAGAGACATGATGACGGCCGCTGAAGTGACATCTTGTCCACATCTTTCACAGCCTTTGAGTGAAATTCTCTGGGAATACTCCTCTAGCGGCGTTTTCTTTGTTCTGCAGCCAGTCGTCCTGCTTCATCCCCATCAGCCAGCCGTCATCCTAAAGTCCGGGACGTGCAAACAAAACAGGCCGTCACTGAGACGCGAGAGTTCAAAACTCAAAACAGTGTGTACCTGAACGGTGTGTACCTGTTCGTCGGGGTTGTCAAAGGAGATTACCAGCACCACATCACCAGTCTTCATCTCCAGTTCGTCTGTGTCGTTGGCAGCATAATCATGCATCACCTGGAGCTATATTACATGAATAATATGAATAAACTTCATATTTATGAAGTACAATATGGTTGATTATAAGATATGTTTGGGCCAAGAAGTAGTTGCTGTCTCCTGCTTTACCTTAAACAAGAAGCCAGGTGGCATTTTTTCGGGCTCTGATGATGCCTCTGTTGATTCTGTTTGTACTTCAGGCGTCTGAGAATACACAAGCTCTATTTATTGACATGAGCAGCAAAGTGATTTTTCAAAAATATTTCAAAGAAACATAATTTAGTCCTGGTTATTATCCAAGTACAAGTATTATACAAAAGATAATAACAATAATGAATAAATGATAGTAATAAAAACAATCATTTGCCTGTAGAATTGTCTCTAAAAGACTGGAATTGAATTAGCCAAGAAACGGAATACATTTGAATGTATTTTCTCTAAAAGATTTGAAGAAACAAGATGATATATATTCACCTTAAACATGATGGAACATTTTATGCTTCTGTAAGCTCTTGATATGATAGAAATGTCTACTATTACTATTCATAATATATTAGTAGGAAATACAATATAACATTGTTATATTAAAATAAAGACTACGTTGTTGCATGTTATAGCAGCTCGACCAGCAGGTACCTCCTCTGTTGGTGCTTCTTCTTCAGGTGTTGCAGCAGCTGCTGCAGACTCACCCTGGGAGCAGAGGGACAGAATAATAACAAAGAGAGGTCAGAGAATGAGACAAATGAAAGATTGAAATAATAAGATGGACGAATGAAATAAAGAAGAGCAGACAGACAAGACAAAGACAAACGAGAAGACAAAGTGCACAAACTAGATAGCAAAGTCATGGCTATTAGAGTAAGCATGTTGAATAGATAGTAAGTATGGCCACTAATGCACAGTTCCCATACAGGTAAAGCTTCTGCACGGCATACTATGTGTGTGTATTTCTCTTTGGTAGTGACTGTGTGTTGAGAAGCAGATGTCTACACACTTTCCCTCAGCAAATCATTTCCAGCTTTGCCCTTTGAACCACGGTCGATGCATCCAAGCTGCTCGTCCAAATGCATCTTAAATCTTTCCGTCTCAAGATAAACTCGGTCATCTTTCATTCATAATATATTCTCCCTATCTTCTGTTTGTTTCCAGTACCTCATGCTCAAATCTCCTCAAAAATCGATGCATCCACCAATTTCCGTCCGGATGCATCCCTCCATTTTTCCCCCTCTCTTGGGTTACCTGACCCTCTTCATCATCCAACGTAGCATCGGCCGGTGTGGTGTCTTCCTCGACCACCTCGACCACCTCGACCACTTCACCTGGAGCATCAGCTGCAGGCGTTTCATCCTCAGGGGCAGGCACCTCTGTGACGGGCTGGACCCCGTCGTCGGCCCAGTCCTCCTGGGCATCGCCCTCGGGATCGCAATGAGCCCGCTGGCCCTCATCGTCACCCCCCCCTCCTTCCTGAGCCGGGGCCACAGGGTCATAGCGAACCGGCAGGGTTCCATCATCACCCCAGCCCTCTGTGGCAGCTGCTATGGGGTCATAGCGGACAGGCTGTGAACCATCATCGCCCCAGGCATCCGTGGCAGCAGCCACAGGGTCATAGTTCTGGTCGGTGTCCTCTTCCTGGGCACCACTGTCCTCATGCTGAGGGGCAAGGGTCACGTTTCAAGGAGTCAGAGGTAAAAAGAGATATTTTACCTTTTAGGGTAATATGGGACTCATAAACTAAATGGTGGAGGAAATTTTAGGGGAAACAAAGGCGAGGGACGAGAGATACTTAAGGCCAGATTTAAGGGCTTAGGATCACAACGGACAAAAGGACATTTGGGAATGTGTGAGTTGTACAAACAAGTCAGTGGGCTACGGGAAAATAAAATATTTTTGTTGGACAAGGGATTAGGCAATTAAAGGAGACATTGAAGAGTCACTGGTTGTATTATGAGAACAGTGGATAATGAATTACTTTTAAAAGGTAAGTGAGTTCAAGGACCATACAGGTGTTTTATATGCTTTTTTTATCCTTTCCTAAGTGCTTTTAATCAATCTAGGTCGCTTTGATGTGAGTTGTGTGACCAAAAATTGTACAGCATTGCCACAGAGTGTAATGTCCTCCCCACTCTCTGATAAAGATTGAATTGTAATAACTTTGGCAATCATCTGATTTTTCCTTTCGCTCTATCATCGGAACCAAACTTTTTTTTTTAATTACTACTGAAGATCTACAAAATGAGATTGAGTCTTCTGCTGTAGTTTATGTTTGGGGCTGTTGGCCGATGTTAGTATGTCGAGCACTTCACCTACTAGTCATCAGTTAGCAATGTCAGTGTGAGCAATGAGCGTCAGCATTTAAGCCACAGCACCACTGTGGCTATTTGAGGGAACGTATCAATCATTATTTAGATAAAAACCTAGTTGGAGGATTTAAGGGAAAATGGAGTTTTGCTAAATATTTGTGGAAACGGGCCAATAAATATGCCCATGGACATCGGTTGGGATGGGAGGAGTTCAGCAGCAAGTCATCATCATCACCATCATCATCATAAGACCCAAGAAGATTGATGTAGAGGGAGGAACCTTTACAGGGAAGGTTCAGATTATGAAAAAATACACATGAAAATAAGGAAGGGTGGCGGCGGAAGGCGGGAACGCAAAACTCAGCCTTTTCCCATCAGAAAATAGATGCTGGATCTTCTGCGTGTAGGTCACGAGCATAGTTTATGTTCAGATGGAGAAAGAGGAAGGAAGCTTTGTAAGAGTAGAAGTGTCGTTCCCTTCTGAGCCATCACTGTTGTGCCCCAGGCTGAGACACATCTCTCTTACAGCGATAGGGATGAACAAAGGGTTATTTAAATGGTCGGAATGCCGAGTTGCAAGCAAGGCTTTGTGAAGTTGCCCACTGGCTCTCGTTCTCGTTTCCGTGAAACGATCCACTGAAAACATGAGCAACTTCACTCGACTTTCAGGACAAAACTGTTCCCTGTGTGTCACATGGGGCTGACATGTGAAGGTTACATGTTCTGTCTGTGCAACGTTGAAACATACAGGGATAGGAGGGAAATAGGAAGAAAGGTGGTGGATTCAGTAAAAAAATCATTTCACAAAGATGGGATTTTTAATTTCCATTTCCATTTAGACTTATATTAATTGTTAAAAGTATGCAACTTTATAATCTTTGCTGAATGTTAGTGGTATTGTACAATCAACCCAACGGGGTTTTCAGTCTACTGAAGCCTGTGCTGTTTATCATCATGATACTGTGCATACAAAGATAGGCCTCTGAAGAGAGGGTTGCATATTTATTTAATCTATATAACAGTGTAAAATGTCACTTCGATACTGAATTGACCCACGCTCGTTCCAAAGCTCTATTTGTGTTGTACAACAATCCTTTCAGTGTTTAGTGTTATCACATCAAGCACTGCAGACGCAAAGACAACACACAAACAGATTTGGGATGGACAAATGAAAGAGATTTGTTTATGGAAGAGCTTGTTAATATGCAGTAATGGCCGTTATAAAAGTCCCTACCCAGCATATAGGTAGAGCTTTTATAAAGGCTGGTTTAGTAAAAGTAATAACAAACACATCGATGGTTCATAATGATCATAATGGCAATGATCATGATATGTTTACACATTGGATGACGTATTACATTGAGAATAACTTACCCATGAGTCCCAGTTTGCAGGCTGTTGGGATAAGAGGAAAAAGAATGAGAAGGGAGAACTACGCTGTTTAAAAATGTATTTTTAGAGTTTTTGTTCATTGCTCATGCTCTAAACCTACAAGCACATCGCAGTAGTTCTTTAGCAGAAGAAGCACAGGCATCACGTATAAAGTCCTGCAGCCTGAAGAGGTGACAACTCTCATGTGTTTTGGCATTGTGAGTGGAATGTAGGAGAAAGATGCACAGGGAAACACAGATATGTATTCTATTGATTCCTTTAATCAGGTAATCAGTCTCAAATGATTTCATATCCAAATCGAGAATCCACAATTCCCCCTGACGACGTAAAATGCCACTTGCAGCAGAGTATCGAGACACAAAGGATGAAGCGCAAATCCTCTGAGTGACAGCTGTTGGCACGTCAATCAAGTTTGAGAGAAGCTGACTTTATTTAGATGTACTAAAGATGTCCTAGATGTCCGTCACTTTCTTTTTTTGCTCTAAGAATCTGTTTTTTGCTAACCAGGTCATACAAAGTAAACATTTAAACAATACTTTAAATAAGGCTACATATTGAACTGCTGCGCCAATTTGTCAGGCACAATTAAACAATTAAACTTCTGTAGTAATTTAGTTTGTAATTTAGACACACCTGTCAGTTTATGATCTTTGGGTCTCTACCATTTAATTCCACAGGCGTCCAGATCGTCCCTCAGAAAAATACTAAAACATATTTTACAACAAAGCATAATCCAATATTTTCAAATTAAGTATTTTTTATGTTAATGTTGAAGTATTGTCTGGTAACTCACCTAACTACAGACTAAAGAAAATAACATTAACAACCTTTACAGTCTAAACTATTCCCCCAGGATTGAGGTCACGGATAAAGTAAGCGAAACCCTGTGTTATGGGAGTTTCCTGAACAAGATTCTGCTGCACAGTTCTGAAGAGAAAGACGTAGAAGCGGAGCAGGGCTTTTCTCTTTTTCTCTGTGTGTAGTGCTGAAGCAGGAAGTAGTGGTCACTAAAAGCAGGCTTCTACAGATCATCATGCCATCATCCACCTCTAGTTTAGGTAAATTGGAAAGGAGCAGAGCAGGTAACACCCCAAACCATGCCGAGGGGTCTCTCTTTGATCTCTATGTTCATGCCATGAATCATCGACCTGTGCGACTGTGGAGGCTTTGGTTGGTGCACTGAAAGAGTCCAGCTCCATGTCCAACAAGGTGCTCTCTGCAGGACTGTCAAACTGATAACAACAGGAGGGCTCACTGGCTAACTGGGCACAATAAGGAACACAATGGAACAGAATGGAACACAATAGAATAGAATAAGATAGAATAGAATAGAAGTTGGAAGAGGGACGGGCCAGACAAAGGAATACTTAAAGACTCGGACCAGTGCAGGAGAGAGGAAAGGTAGAGGGCTCACTAACCTCTGTCGGGGAGGTGACGTTGATATCAGGAGTAGCTGCAGCGTCAAACAGGCTGACGATGTTCTCGGTTTTCATCTCCTTAGATGGGGTCACCTTGGGTGGAGGAGGCATTGCAGGCCTTAGCTAGAACAGAGGAGGAAGGTCAATATAAGTCAATATGAATTCAAGACTAAAAATGAATAAAATAATTATACCTTCAGTCTTTCTTAAAAAAAACTGAATACAAATGTGTTTATTCAAATGTTATTGGAGGACAAACTCATACTCAATATAGCAGACATCTTAACATTTCATAGCAGGATGAGAGCAGATGTAACAAGACAGTATTACTTTCATTATTCCTCAGGGAGTCACAATGCAGAAGAAATTGTAAACGCAGAGACAGCGAGATTGTGTCTAACCTTGGAGGGAGATTTGGGGATTGGTGGTGGTCCTGCCGGCCTGAGACTGTGGTTGGACGCTTCTTTTACACTCGCACTGAGTGAACGAGAGAGAGACAGATGGAGGGCAAGACCGAGATACAGACGTGTTACAGAGACAGCAAGAGGAATGGCAAACAATGTGTGTGAAAGGTCAATGGATATAAAGTGCAGCTAAAGGAGTTCTGAGGCATGCTCTACAAGAGGCCAAGAGCTGTCATGCAAGAAAAGTGAGTCTTCCTTTACTACTCTTCTTTTCCGTCTCTCCATCCCATGCAAGCAATTTATCCGCGCCTCCAGTCAATCCTCATATGTGAGGAAGTGACAGAGGAATTCACTTTAAAAGAGAAGATTTTCTAAAGGCGACAAAAGCAGCCCCGTATCTGAGGAAATTTTGCAGATTGGAAAACCTCAAATGTTGTAAATTGATTTTATGAGTGGAAGAAAGAGGTCATTCTTCAAAAACTGTGCTACATCAACAAGCACGAAAGTGGAGGAGGCAGATAGCTTCAGCTTTAACTGTGTGTCAGCAGGTTTTTGTTAATATACTGTTTTGGTACAATTGTTTATGCACCAGCGAGGCAAATAACTAAGTTAGACAACTGCGTAGATTACACACAGAAGTGGAATAACAGGGGCTAATTTATGTCCCCCTGATGAATCCATAAACATTATTCCACTAAGTACCTCACGCTTTGGGTTGTACTGCAATGTAACCATCTCGCCTGGTGGAGTATTAAGCATGAAGTTTTGCTCAACTCTTAAAATACATCTGCAGCTCTGGGAGAAAAAGCTCTCTTATCGGTTTGTCTGTGAATTCACTCCCACGAGCACAATCTCTTCCTTAAATCTCCCCAGCCCGCAGACGGACTGACAGACAGATGGCTGGACAGACGGGGTCAGTTGGACGGACAGACAAGAGTTGCGTCACCACGGTTACCTCCTATTTGTTCCTGACGATGAGGCGCCGCTGGGACCTGTTTTCCTGAAAGTGGGGTTCAGGTTAATGCGAGCCTGCGTTCTTCTGTTCCAGTAGCTAAAGACTTACATTTCTGATCATTGGTGTCGTAATCAACGAGTGGCATATTTCTGTGACCGTAAATATCTGCAAACTCATGAGGAAAATACCCTGTCTAATGAACTTCTCGGTTAATTTACTGCCTCTTTAGTTCATGATGTGGCACACTGCATTCGTCAAGGACAATGAATGATGTGCTCTTAAGTGATTAAACAAAAAAGAAAGTATGTTCTTTGCAGTTGAAAATAACCAATCGCAATGATCGATTCAGAGGCATTTTAAAGTAATGCCGAAGTTTTTAAAGTCTATTTAAGATCAATGTTACACGATTTTGGCCTGAGTGGAATATCAACAACACGTCCCGGTTCTTTTGAGTAGTGTACAACAGTTGTGTTCGTCTTTATCTCATCTTAACATCTTTAATGTGTATATGTATTGAAACTAACCCAGTTGTTTGCTGCATGTCTGTATCCTCCAATTTCTCCAAGATATCGTACAAGTCCTGATCCAACTGCAGAGGGGGAGAAGGCATGTTGGTATTATACCTCATCATCATCCTGCATTGTTCTGGTACAATCGATGTGCATTCTAGTCAGTTAAAACCCAATTTCCGGGTGAAAAGGAAAAATAAATGAACTACATCCTGCATTTCAAAGAAATAATGCTAAATGGCAGCAGGATGTTTTTTTCTTTTAGATTTAGATTAATGAGGTTTAAATCGTCATTGTCTATATGTCCAATCAACTATTAGCTGACACTGTATATTGATTTGTTTTGTCTCCTCTTTATCTAAATTCCTCATTAATTGAGGTCCACACGCAACACTCACCCGGCCAATTTCCTTGTGAAACTTTTCCTCGAAACCAGCCAAACTCTGGAAGGTGCTGACGTAAAATCCAACACGACTAGAGAGGACAGAGAAGAGAAAGTATTGACTTCATTGCAGCCCTGACTTAATGAAACACCCGCTTGATGGCATGCAATGTAGCGTGGATGTATCGGAAACGTGATAACAGCCTCCTTCCAACATCCGGACATCATGTCCACACGCACACACACACACACACACACACACACACACAAACAAGTACACACCTGTTCCAGAGTGAAGGTAATTCCTCTTGCAAGTCAATATTAATCTCCTCAAATACCTTCTGCGCTCTCTCCAACTCATCCTCAGCCTGAAACACACACACACACACACACACACACACACACACACACACACATAATGTGTTAACACAAGGTGTTTAAGTCGATGAATAGCTGAACATTTTGGTTTGGCTTTAGTTAAACCTTCGACAGCAGCAAGTGACAGTGAAGACGGGCAGAAAGAGAATGCGAGGAAATGCTCCATCTCATGTGACATCTTATCATTGTTCCATATTAAGTGCAGAAAAATTGTTATTTCGTACCTGGTTTCTGGATAGACTGCTCTGAGCGACGTTGTGTGCAGACAATATGCCCTGGGCCCAGCCTGGAGTGGCCCTCTCCAACAAAGAGGAGGGCTGAAGGAGAGAGTGAGAATACAACAAATAAAACACATCATGTATCCATACAAGGATTACGTCCTAATCAGAATACAACCGTTTTTGGGTCCAAATATTTTGAACTGTGTTTTTTTTACCTTGGTAATTTTGATGCTCCCATCCTTTTTCTTGGTCTTGTGTGTGGTGGCATAGTTGTGCCTGGCACTGTCATAATCCACGAGCTTCCTGTCCCTCTTAGCTATACGCGACTGGACGAAAAGGGAGCGATTATTTGTCATATTCGGTGCCTCAACCTTCAGGGATTTACCCCACCTTCATCTTCTAAATGTGAACTTGACATCCTTGATACCACAATGCACACCTTGATATCAGGGAACTGGCCCAGGTAGGTATCCATGGAGATGAGGGCATTATCGACCAACTTTTGGTGGTAATCAGTCCAAAGCACATCGCAGTCCTACAGCAGGGATGAACACAACAGCACTACACATGAGTCATGCTTACAAATTCCTTGTGATTCTTGTTTTTATTGCAACTTTTGCTGCTTCCCAGACGCAATTACTCCACCACTCCCGAGTTAACTCCTTGGCTCATGATCTTAAATCTAAATTAAGAATAAAGTGAAAACCTTTTTAACTGATTGCCACATTTCGTTGCCAGCTAGCAGCCATTAAATCAAAAGCATCTTCAAGAGTGATATACTTAATGCAGTCAGAGGAAACTCAAAAGAGCTAATCAACATCCCTCACAAGAGATTTGAATGTAGAATTTGGCCAATTCTGCCAAGAGGACACAGCATCTCAGAAACTACAAAGAACAGCTTCTGGGATGCATTAGCAAATCATGAGCCAAGCACACACACACACACGCACTCAACTAATCAACTAATATGCGACCTATGAAATGAAGTGGTTCTGACCTCTATATGTAAACCACAGTTTGTCCGAAAACTCCCACACAAGCAGGCAGTGTCAGCATTAAAAACTTATTCATGAAAAGGGTTTCTGACCTCCACAATGGAATCCACTTCGTCCTTGCCGTACCACTCGGGTTCATACATGTCAGCTAAGCAGGCCTGCACGTTCTTGGAGGACTCGTGCATGGCTATAAAAAAAAACACATCAGAAACATCAGTTGATACCTGCAGTTTATCGTGTGCTCTTACACGTCTACCACTGTGTGTTAACACGTACAACTTTGGACGTGCAAGTGTGAATCTGTCACCTTTCACGGCCTCCAGGTATGCTCTAAGGTCCCTTTGCAGTTTGCTGCCTTCGGCCTGCATGGCGAAACATAAAACATGGAGCTTAGAACCCAAAACTAACAAGTACACTAACAAGTACAACAACTACATATGTGACTTGTGTCTGCCAAGCTATAATCTTTTTTAACCGTGCAATAATCAGTCACTAGCATTATTGATGTCCGGGAAAATTAAAAAAATATGCTTCTGGCATGGTGTCATTCATTGGACTTTACTCACATATTGTTTGTTAAAGTTGATCACTCCTTCCTCAAAAGCAACATCTTTGGTCTCATCGGCTTTGCCAAGCTTCTGAAGAACCTGTTCGTCCAACATATCATGATATTACTGGTCATTCCAAAGGTTAGCAGTTCATTTTATTCAGGAACAGAACAGAAGGCGGAAGATGTTCCCCAGAAGGCGTGAACACTGTTTTATTTTCACTTGCTTTATTTTAAACATGATCTCTCTGCATTCATGAGTAAAATTAACTGGTTGCGAGAGCAATTCTGTGTAAAGGCAATATATAAGAGAAATCGGAACGCACATTCAGCAAATACTGTTTAATCTACGATGATAGGAAATAGATAAGAGCTACTTCACTTTGGCAGAAATGCATACATGGATTGATTGCATTATTTCAATATAAAGTAATATAGTCTGACATATTGTCAACACAGTAGTATTCACAAAGACTAAAACGACACTGGATTTAGTTTATGATGCACTGTGACTGACAAATAGCGCCCCCTACCTGTTTTTCCACGCACAGCGCGCAGGTTTCATGAACGCAGGCTAGGCCTTTATCTATTTCAGCGTGGGTACTAATAATCATCACAGCACTGTGAACATGTCAGTGAGTCTGTGAATGAGTGTTTCTGCAGTTATACCATTCACGTGACAAACACTCATTGAATTACCGGAAACGTAATGTAATGTAATGCCAGAAACACATCTGTCATCGGCTGAATGATGAGTAGTGCAACATGCACGTGCCCGCTGAATGACATTGAGTAGGATAACGACGTGATCGAAGAGGGGGGGGGGGGGGTCCCCATCCCCCAATAGGCCGTCGGCATCCCTGCACATGTTTATTATGATGTCGTGATGCGACACTTCCCCCCGGTGGAGGACGGATGTGGCACCGCTGCCTCGCGGCTCGCAGGCCTGGATGATCACCCTCTCTTCCCTCTCCTCCCTCCCCAACAGCGTCCTCCCTCCCCCCATTAACCCGCTGGCGAGCGACTCTTACCTTTTCTTGGGCTCTCGTTAGCTTTTTCTGAACGTTGCTGGCCACTTTCCCCGCGGTCAGCCCCTTCCCCAAATTCAACTCAGCCATCTTGTAGCGCAGATCTGTCTTTGGATGCGAGGGAGGAAGGGAGGAGGGAAGGAAGGAAGGAAACGAGAGCAATAAAGATCGGCGACCGTCGAGGCAAATGCATCAACGTCCAGCGGAGAAACAAATGGAGATAAATGTAATCGCGTGGCGTTGTTGTGTGTATTTAGGGGGATGTGTGTGTGCAGGATGCTAACCTGTATTCCCAAATGTTGAGCAGCCGAGTGCGCGTCCGTGCCAGAAGAGGATGCTGTCAGAGAGGCTCTTAAAGGCACAGATGCTGCTGCGCGTCCACGCAGGAGCCTGTGCGAGGAGGCACCGAGTGGTAAAGATACACGCACCTTATAAAAGGTTTGGAACGGAATGCTGCACTTTACTGTCCGTTTTTTTTTTCTCACATTAAAATCAGTTAAATAAAAAGATCAACAAAACATTGAAACGTCGCCTGATTGCAAATACCCGTCTGATGTTGTTTTAACATCATAGATCACTGAAATGCAGCAATGCAGTCAAGAGAATAAGCAAAAAAAAGCACGTTTTGAACACAAACAAAGGGCAGTGCACCGGGGATTAGAAATAATTGCTTGAAAATATCCCAAATTGACCCTAAGTGAGAAAAATGACTTAAATAGCTGTTAACAGTAAAGTGTGTGTATGACGGCTACTTGTGAAGCACTAAGGATGCAATGAACCACATCTACGGGTTTTATCCGGTGAAGGAAACGTGTCGCTACAACGTTCCATCCAGGAGGTGGCGCTGTCGATGTATCATATTCACAAACAAGCGTAACGCAGAGAGCGCTGAGTAAATTCTTTCACTTATTAAAATCTGTCTGTTCTTCGCTCCACGGCCACAAAAGTACTGCGGCTCTGAACGCGTAGAGAAGGTGGATTAATTCCAACATCACACAGATCAGGCGGTTCCGAATCCAGTGTGACAGCCTTCGCCTGCTAAACAACGACCCAATGCGTTTGTCCTAATAACACATTTGCTTTCATATGTATGATTGAAATAAACTAAAGCCCTATTTATACAGGTGGCTGGTTCTGTCCGAGAGCTCTCCAGGGTCCTGAACTCACAGTGGTGCTGAAGGAAGTAACCGCCCCCCCCCCCCCCCCACACAAACAAGCAAACAACACCTGTACTGTTACTATACTGATGTAATAATGATGTGTCTGTTGCATAATGTAGCATGTTTTTCTAATCTTTTCCCCTTATTTCCATCGGATCGTAATGACACTGAACCCCCCCCGCGCCCCCCCATCTTTCCTCGGCGTCTCTTCACTGTCGACAACAACAACATTTGGCCACGAGTCACCGAGCCCATTCGTTCCCGTATCCACTGAATCCCCCCACCCCCTCCCGCTCTCTCTCTCTCCCCCCCTCCTGCTGCGGAGAATGGTTTAACCCGCCCCCCCCCTCAGTGAGCGAGGCTCGCGAGCACAAAGGAAGCGCCACACTGGTCGAGTCAGCGGGGATGAGCGCGATGTAAACACGGACTGAGGCACCGCAAGGCAGCGTCTCCGGTCCCCGTCGCAGCAGCGGGCCGTTATCGGCGTTGGATCTTCCACGAGGTGCCCGTGGTCCGGACGGCCGAAGGCCGGGCAGAGAGTGGGGACAGACAGAACCACGAGGAGTTCAGCATTGTTTCGGGTTTTTTTTAGCTTCGGGCTTTCCTGGAGTTGCTCGCAGTCTGTTTTTGTGTGTGTGTGTGTGTGTGTGTGTGTGTGTGTGTGTGTGTGTGTGTGTGTGTGTGTGTGTGTGTGCGCGTGTGTGTGTGTGTGTTTGAGCCCGGTGGTTCACTGGGACCATAGTGTTGGGTTTTTCAATCATACATATATATATATATATATATTCCTCTCTCTCGTCTGGACGACGTCGACGACAAAGGAAACAGACGCTGATATGTTGCGTTTGCTGAGGTGAGTTCTCTTTGTTCCCTGTTGTGTCCCCGCACGCATGTACTAATGAGTCCTAATTACCAGGACAAAAGTGTAACGTTTTGTTCTGTTTTTTTCCACCCAACACCTTAAACGAACTCCATCTCTCTCTCTCTCTCTCTCTCTCTCTCTCTCTCTCTCTCTCTCTCTCTCTCTCTCTGTGGAAGCGGTCCTCGGGTGCTTATTATGTTGCCCTCTCCCCTAACGCCCCATCACTGTAATTGCCTTTGAACAAACAAAAAAGCATTGTGCACATGGAGGACTATCTCCTCCTATGGTTCTCCCTCTTTTTTGTTCTTCACGGAGCATTTGGTGCTGCAACGGGCACTTCCAGACCGCTTCAGGGTCTCATATCAGTGACATCCAGATGAATCCTTCATGATGTGTGGCGGTTTAATAATTGAAGAGACTAAACTGTGAGTTGGATACCCGTCTGCATAATTGGTTTGGACAGCGTGTAAACAGTGGGAGGCAATGTCACATGCACCTAGAACCCACCCGGGGTCTGCACATCACTCTACTGTACCCATCCATCACTAGTCTACAGCATTTATCCATCGGTCTATCAGCCGCCCACCTCACTCCTCCACCTCCTCTCTTCTTCGGGGTCTGGTGATGGCACATGAAACATCTTCGTAATTAGCAGTTTGCTTTAGCAAAGAAGAAGTGATTATGGGAATTACGCCTGCTTGGCTTACTGTGCAGGCATTTTATTTTCTGTCCTTTTGTTAAACATGCAAGGGTCTTTTACTCTGTACTGCCCTGCAAATGGCACGGCTTGAACTATTTTATTCCGTGGTGCAACATCGCGTAATTCTTAAATGGTAAAAAAAGTAAACCATTTGACAGAAAAAAAAGAGTACGTATGCCCCATATCATTAAGTGCTTTTAATGTACTAGATGTGAGTTTGTGAAGAGCTCTCCATGAGGTGCAATAAGGGGACACACAAACCCCCCCCCAAAAATAAATGTTATTTTTTACAAACATTACACGTATACATACTTGAATATATCAGCAATTATGCAAATTACAAGAAACGCGAAGAACAGCATAAAGCGCATGATTACCCTCTTATTTCCTTTAGTTGCAGAGAATAAGCATCTGTTGATATAGTCCATTAAAAAGGCAAAAGGACATCATTGAACCGCATATCTCATGAGATTTAATGATTGATAGAAAGGTGGTGCAGTACATGCATGGTGGATACAGAGAAACGTCGTCATGGGGAAGAAGCATGAATTACATAAAGTGTGGCCGAGCGTGCGTTTTCAGGATCACATATTTAAATTCAACCCGGTGGGAACGAAGCTTTTTCACTCCTGGCAACTGTGCCGCTTCACTGGAGCAAATTAGGGTCACAAAGCAGCGCTGTGTTACAAGAGGCATTGAGCTCATTCAAAGTGTTCAACGTGCACTTTCGTTTCCAATGTAGTGCAGTCATCAAATTTCCAGCCAGATTCAATACTTATTAAGTAAAATTCCAACTATGGTCAGTACAGTTATTCCGGTTGACAATTGTTATTCCTGAATATTTGATTAATGGCTGCTCTCCATACTGCACTAAAATGTTAGTGAAATGTAATGATTGGTTCGTTTTGTGTTTTAAATAAGATGCCGGATATTGGACGTAAAGGCCTTTTTAACGGGCCTTTAAAAACAGTTCCCCCCCGTATGGTGCCGGGTGGACCGTCGACTTCGCCCAAAGTGACGGACTCGGAGTCGAAGTGTGACCAGAATTCACAAAGTCTGCCGCTGCGATGATATTTTTTCCACGGTGTGACAAATCCTTTCTAGGACAGGTGTTCAAAAGGACTCAGACCTGAACTTTTAAACCTAATTTTTGACTAAATTAATTCCAGCGCGGAGGTGAAACCAATATGTGTTCTCAAGTAACCTTGAACTATGGCCTCGCCTCCTGGTATTTTGATCTCAATTAAAATGCGTCTAAGATAGAAAGCCTTTGATAGATGGCGGGGGATGGTCAACAGAGAGGCTTCCGCTGCTACGTAACTGTGCCGTGTTTGATGCGTTATGTAAGTACAGTGAGCACAAGCCAAAAAGACTCCAGACCAGCATGAAACGTGTGCAGAGGCTTCTCTGTCTGACAGAGCTCATCTGCAACAGGCCTCGGTGGTTTTGTTGTACATTAAAGAGAAGGATGGATGGGAGGTTTCAGAGGGCGGACAAAGAAAGAGTGCAGAAGCACTTTGAATATAAACGGGACTAAACCAGAGCAACGAATAGAACAATAAGGTGAAAAGGTGGAAGAGGCAGAGTTATGAGTAATGACGGATGGAGCAGACTAACTGAGACGAATACAGACACAAACAAACTGAAAGAATTCCCCTGCAATGAGAGAAATCTCCCCAAAGAAGATTTGGGTGGAGAAAGCGATGCGGGGAACAGAAAGGGGAGAGGAAACGATTAGGGGAACAGAAAGGGTAAAGTTGATCCTAATCCAATTAATATACCACAGGGCTGTCTCTCCCTCTGGCATACTCATGTGCACACACACACACACACACACACACACACTGGTAACTTGCACCGCTTAGATTTATTTTGTTGTGCAGCTCACCAGTATAAAGTCAGAACATCTAATGATTTGAGCCTTATATATGGTGATCAGGATGGGGGGGTCAGTGTAATGAGGACAGCGTCTGGTTGGGAGCCATTAGTTTCAACCAGATCTGACTCACAGCGTGCAAAAAAAAGCCTTTCGGCAAAGTCCCGTGTGTGTGTGTGTGTGTGCGTGTGGAGTCTCTCGACGCCGTCCACGAGCATCTTCCGCATCCGCCTGCATCTTTATGTCCTGGACGCATACAGCAGCTGACGGATGCGTGTGCGTGATGGCTGGTGTGTGCAAAGGCATTTTGTCTAAAGCACATATGAACCGTATGTGTTGACTGCAAAGACTAATCCATTAATTGTATCTCAACGCGTGATTCAGTGCGTGTCTGCAGGGCGAGGGAGCTGTGAGCAGCACGGCTACGGGAAAAGTGAACGATACAAAGCGAGGACTTCTACCCAGTACGTGTTTGTGTGTTCCTATATGCGCCACAGCCTCTTATCCTGTTTGTACACAACCACAAACTAAATGCACGGTGTGTTTGCTGCTGCTGGAAGGGTTTATTAGATGAAATCCTTATTTCTATGTAACCGATATGTTCTTTGAGAGCTTTGCAGATTGTAATTGATTTTAAAAACCCAAGCAAAAACCGCCGCAATTTGAGCATCTGTGCATTGTAGAATTTATACTTTAACATAAGTAAAATACCGTATAAGTACGTCTTTCATCTCAGGTGGTTGTAGCTCCCTCATGCACTCAAGGAAGATGTTATTCTTCAACAGATCCCTGTACGGAGAAACACCTTAATCAAGCAGCATGAAGAGGATTATTTAGGAAACAGAGGCATAATGGTTTTGAAAGACGTGGCGTAAGACGTTAGGAACATTATGTTTTCATCTGTGCACCAAGTAGATTTGAACCTCGGTTACCTGAATACCTTTTGAAAAGAAATGGCTCTGAAAGTCGTTCATATCATGCATTTCCAACGCTATTTCGATCTGCTGTCACCATCCGCTCATGGGGGATATTTAGAAAATGACAAAAGGATCCATGTGGGAGTGAAGACAATTTTAACGCTGGGCCTCGAGTACATCTTGTGCTCAGCAAGAGGATAAGGCAAAGACGCTGAAAGCAGCAGTGAGATGAATACCGCGGGACGGAGAGACGGTGAAAGACAGAGAGTGAGCTGTAATCTGATTAAAGCCTCTTTACTCTGTTGTCACCTCACCTTCAGGCCACAGGCAGTGACCAAGGCTTATAGGGCAGAGGGGGGGGGGGGGTCAATGCAGAGTCCCTCTCACTTGCAGGCATCTGAAGATACAGCTGAGACCACTGCACAGCAAACTACTCATGAAGGGCTAAAGCAAAAGCATCAAGAGAAACGTCTTCACTTGATACTTTTGTTTTTTCCCCGTAATGAGTAGTTTGCTTAATGCGTGTGTGGATGGATTATTAGAGAGATGAAAGGGGATTGTGTGAGGGAAGGGTCAGAGATAAAGGTATTATGTCTTGAACGTCTCTGGTTCTCATTATGGTGTTTTTGTAAGTGCGTTTGTGGGAGGGAAAGTGCAAAGATCGCCCTAAAGGTCACTCAGACATCTTAATGTGGTTGTAGCTCACGAGGGGGTGTGAGGGGGGGGAAATGAACAGCGCCCATACAAATCCCCTCCCTGCCTTTTAAACCTAACGCCACTGGCAACAAGATGACCAAGGCCGAGATTGTTTCCCTGTAAGCGTCCTCCTGTTAAGTGTCATTTTACGTTTACGAGAAAAGAAATTTAAATGCTGGCATGCATGAAAAGTAGTTAAACTGTTGTTGATAATAGCTTCCTTTTAAGCAGTAAAATACTGCCCATTATTCCCCTCATGTGGCACTGAAAAGGCCTTTAAAGGCACTCAATAACTCTTATGGAGAATAATACTAATAATATTTCAGTGGTTCATTTATCAAAGGACCTGCACGGTGTGAATGTGTTGCTATGCTGCGTTTTTTTTAAGTTCTGGAGCACATTTGTATTTCTTTCTATTTTTTTTAACCAAGTATCACAGACCTTCGGATATATCAAAAGACACAAACAAACAGGGAAAATTGATTTGAAAACACAACGTAGAAAGTCAACAACAGGCAAGGGCCATCTAAAAAAAAAGGCTTCTGAAGTCTGTAAAACTAAATTACATTGAGATAAGGATGCTGCTTTCACACATTAGGTTCCGCTAAGCAGTCCAGTTAATCAAAGATGCGACACTTCCAATAAAACAAGGTTATCTGCTCCTTTCTCGTTACTATGCCAACTGAACAGGAAGCTACTTCAGTGTAACTGCACCGTTTGGCCTCCATAGAAATGTGCTTTTTTATTTATTAAACAATTACTTCATTGTTTACTTCATAAGCTGAAAATAATGCTTCATTTC